TTTTTAAAATATGAGGAAATCAGGTTGCTGTCATGATTCCAGCTTTGTTTTCTATTCCTTTCTTTCTGTGGAACCAAAGACTGTTTGTCTTATGTGTTACCCAGGCTTTCTGCAAGAGTAACTGGGACTTTAAGTTAAAATCTCTTCTTGTTTTTCCTTTAAGAAACTTCTTTTAAGGCCTGAAGACTCAGAGTGTTTTCAAGAGTTTAAGAAGGTGGTGTCAGGTCTTGGAGATTGGTTTCTGAGCACTGGACAGACTTGCAAATGCATAAGCTCTGTTCCAGACAGGTACAGCTCTAGAAATATCAACCTCAGCCACAAGCAAAAAGGCAATGTTTGTATGTGTTTGGTATAAAAACTGTGACTTATTTTTCTACTCTTTCCATAAACAGAATGATTCTTTGTCAGCAGTGACATTTTTGAAGGCTGAGAATGGTTAAAGTTTTTGCTTCCACAACTACAGTGTTGAACCACAATTGTTTTTATGATAATCGCTATCCATAGTGCTCACATAGGGATCTTTTTAAGGAAAGTTAAAAAGTGTCATTGAGACCATGAATAATTGTACTGTAGCATTGCTTACTTCAGTAGTTGTGTTCCCATAGAACTTGTATATCATAAGTTCTCCCCCCACTCTTCTTTTTCTTCATCAGCATGGAATTATTTTCCTTCTTTTAATATGTAATATAATCAGTCTTTTTGGTATTCATGTACTTACTATAAATGGAATTGAATTATATTTTAATCTGAAACTATAGACTAGCAGCAACCTAACATAAGCAGATATATGAAAGATAAGTACATTCCGATTCACTGATCTTTAAAATAGTGTAGTACCAGAAATCAGGTGATTAATTTATAAGTAGATTTGATTCCTGAAAAATAATTGTGGGGCACAGGGAAAATTGTGATTTCTCACTGTTTCTCATTAACATCCTGTCTATTTTTGCTTTTTTACCTTTCAGTCATTTTTCTTTTTTTTCGAAACAGAGTTTCACTCTTGTCGTCTAGGTGCGATGGCACCATCTCGGCTCACTGCAGCCTCTGCCTCCCGGGTTCAAGCGATTCTCCCACCTCAGCCTCCTGAGTAGCTGGGATTACAGGCATGCGCCGCCACGCCCGGCTAATTTTTTGTATTTTTAGTAGAGATGGGGTTTTGCCATGTTGGGCAGGCTGGTCTCGAGCTCCTGACCTCAGGTGATCCGCCCGCCTTGGCGTCCCAAAGTGTTGGGATTATAGGCGTGAGCCACCATGCCCGGCATTTTTCTTTACTGTATAGAGTATCCTTCATTATTTTGGTTTGTCTGTCCTTCACAGACCAACTGTACTTCAAGTTTGATTTAAGTCTCATTTCTCTCACAAAGCCTTCTCTGGCTATTTGATACAACACATTTGTATTAGTCCATTCTGGCAATGCTATAAGAAAATACTGGAGACTGGGTAACTTATAAAGAAGAAAGGTTTAATTGGTTCACATTTCTGCAGGAAGCATGTCAACATCTACTTCTGGGGAGGCTTCAGGGAGCTTTTACTCATGGCAGAAGGCAAAGCAGGAGCAGGCATCTTCACATTGCCAGAGCAAGAGGAAGAGAGAGAGAGGGGAGGTGGCACACACTTTTAAACACCCAGATCTCATGAGAACTGTATCACAAGAACAGCACCAGAGGAGGAAATTGTCACACATGATTCAGTCATCTCCTACCAGACTCCACCGCCAACACTTGGGATTATAATTTAACATGAGATTTGGGTGGGGATACAAATCCAAACCGTATTGTTTCACCTGTGGCCCCTCCCAAATCTCATATTCTTCTCACCTTGCAAAATGCAGTCATCCCTTCTCAACAGTCCTCCAAAGTCTTAACTCATTCAGGCATTAGCTCAAAAGTCCAAAGTCTCATCTGGGACAAGGCTGGCCCGTTTCACCTGTGAGCCTGTAAAATCAAAAGCAGGTTGCTTACTCCCAAGATACAATGGGGGTATAGGCATTGAGTAAATACTCCCATTCCAAAAGGGAGAAAATGGCCAAAAGAATGGGGCTATAGGCCTTGTGCAAGTTCGAAACCCAGCAGGGCAGTCATTAAATCTTAATGTTCCAAATCTGCTTTGACTCCATGTCTCATATCCAGGGTACAATGATGCAAGGGTTGGGCTTCCAAGGCCTTGGACAGCTACACCCCTGTGGCTTGGAAGGGTTCAGCTTCCATGGCTGCTCTCAAGGACTGGTGTTGAGTGCCTGCAGCTTGTCTAGGTGCAAGGTATTTAGCGGATCTATCATTCCAGGGTCTGGATGATGGTGGCCCTCTTCTCACAGCTCCACCAAGTGGTGCCCCAAACGGAGACTCTGTGTGTGGGGGGGGCCAACCTCACATTTCTTCTCTGCACTGTCCTAGTAGAGGTTCTCCATGAGGGCTCTGCCCCTGCAGCAGGCTTCTGCCTGGACATCCAGGCTTTTCCATATAGCATCTGAAATCTATGCGGAGGCGCCATGCCTCAACTCTTGCATTCTGTGCACCTGCAGGCTTAACACCACATGGAAGCAGCGGCCCAAACGGTACCCAGGTTCCTTTGAGCCACGGCTGGAGTTAGAGCAGCCAGGATGCAGAAGCAGTGTCCTGAGGCTGCGCAGGGTGGTCAGGGTGGTGAGGCCCTGTTGTTCACCCACCTCATAGGCCTCTGGGCCTGTGATGGCAGGGGCTGCCATGAAGGTCTCTGAAATGCCTTTGAGGCCTTTTCTTCATTGTTTAGCTATCAGCACTTGACTGCTCTTTACTTATGCAAATTTCTACAGCCTGCTTGAATTTCTCCCCTGAAAATGGGCTTTTCTTTTCTACCACATAACTGGGCTACGAATTTTTCAAACTTTTACACTCTGCCTCCCTTTTAAATATAATTCATTGGCCGGGCTTGGTGGCTTATGCCTGTAATCCCAGCACTTTGGGAGGCCAAGGCAGGTGGATGACCTGAGGTTGGGAGTTTGAGACCAGCCTGACTAACATGAAAAACCCCATTTCTACTAAAAATACAAAACTAGCGAGGTGTTGTGGTGCATGCCTGTAATCCCAGCTACTCAGGAGGCTGAGGCAGGAGAATCGCTTGAACCCAGGAAGCAGAGGTTGTGGTGAGCTGAGATCACGCCATTGCACTCCAGCCTGGGCAACAACAATGAAACTCCGTCTCAAAAAGTAAAAATTAAATTTAAAAAATATATATATGTGTTTGTTTCAGGTCATTTCTTTGCTCACACGTATGAGCATAGGATACTAGAAGCAGCCAGGCAACATCTTGAATGCTTTGTTCCTTAGACATTTTTTCCTCTAAATCCTAAGTCATCATTCTCAACTTCAAAGTCCCACAGATCTCTAGGCAGGGCACAATACCACCAGGTTCTTTGCTAACACATAACAAAAGTGATCTTTGCTCCAGTTCCCAATAAGTTCCTTATTTCCATCTGAGATCTCCTCAGCCTGGACTTCATTGTCCATATCACTGTCAGCATTTTGTTGACAACAGTTTGATAAGTCTCTAGGAAGTTCCTAATTTTCCCTCATCTTCTTGTCTTCTGAACTCTCCACACCCTTCCAGCCTCTGCCCATTACCCAGTTCCAGAGACGCTTCCACATTTTCAGATATCTTTATAGCAATGCCCTACTTTTCAGTAGCAATTCTGTTAGTTTTCGCACTGCTATAAAAAATACCCGAGACTGGACAATTTGTAAAGAAAAAGGGTTTAATTGGCTCACTGTTCCATAGGTTTTATAGGAAGCATGGCAACATCTGCTTCTGAGGAGGCCCAGAGAGCTTTTACTCGTGGCAGAAGGCAAAGTGGGAGCAGGCCAGAGCAGGAGGAAGAGAGAGAGAGGAAAGGTAGCACACACTTTTAAACAACCAGATCTCATGAGAACCCTCCCACAAGAACAGCATCAAAGAGGGAAATCAGCCCCCATGATGCAGTCACCTCCCATCAGGCCTCACCCCCAACACTGGGAATTACAATTTGACATGAGATTTGAGCAGGGCCACAAATTCAAACCATATCAACATTGTTTTTCTTTTCTGAAATTCTTGTTGCTTTTCTCTTTAACACAATTTAAATTGTCTTCTATATATTATTATCTGTATATTCGCTTTATTATTTTATTTTATTATTATTTTTTGAGGTGGGGTTTTTCTCTTGTCACCCAGGCTGGAGTGCAGTGGAACGATCTCAGCTCACTGCAACCTCTGCCTCCTGGGTTCAAGTGATTCTCCTGCCTCAGCCTCCTGAATAGCTGGGATTACAGGTGTGCGCCACCACACTTGGCTAATTTTTTTGTATTTTTAGTAGAGACAGGGTTCTTTTTTTTTTGAGACGGAGTCTGGCTCTGTTGCCCAGGCTGGAGTGCAGTGGCCGGATCTCAGCTCACTGCAAGCCCCGCCTCCCGGGTTCACGCCATTCTCCTGCCTCAGCCTCCCAAGTAGCTGGGACTACAGGCGCCCGCCACCTCGCCCAGCTAATTTTTTTTTTTTTTTTGTATTTTAGTAGAGACGGGGTTTCACTGTGTTAGCGAGGATGGTCTCGATCTCCTGAACTCGTGATCCGCCCGTCTCGGCCTCCCAAAGTGCTGGAATTACAGGCTTGAGCCACCGCTCCCGGCCAAGTAGAGACAGGGTTTCAACAGAATTTCACCATGTTGGTCAGACCGGTCTTGAACTCTCGACCTCAGGTGATCTGCCCACCTTGGCCTCTCAAAGTGCTGGGATTACAGGCATGAGCAACCACACCCAGCCTAGCGTTATTTTTTAGTTTCATTAATGTATGCTATCTTTTGTCATCCTCAGATCCTAGGGCAAGATAAGATAAATAATATTATTTCCCATTTTATAGATACAGAAATATTCATCAGACAAATGTGATTGACTGTACACTATATGCCACATATTAGTGTTAGCTCTGGATATGGACAAATGTTAACTGTGTTATTTTGTTAGTAATATTTGATCTCTTGTTATTTATACAGGAGAGATTAAACAGATTCTAGAAAATGAACTTCAGATACCTGTGTCCAAAATGCTGTTAAAAGGCTGGAAGACGGGAGATGTGGAAGACAGTGTGAGTTTTTTAATTACATAGAAATTAAGTTATGCCACTGATTAAATGATACGTAAAAATTGGTTTTTATTAATGTTGTTACATATGGCAGAAGTAGATTTGGCAATAGTAATTTAGTTTAAGGATTCAGCAAGTAGTGTTTTCTAAGCTAAAATATTTCATGATAAACCAATAACAATTGTAAATGAGTAGATTTGTAAATGAAAACAGTATATGGTATGTTTTTCCTATTTCTAACTTTTAAAGGAGTTTGGCCCTTTATTTGGGAGCCTTTACCTTTTTTTCAAACCTCCTAGAGTATCAGAGAATGCCCTGGAATAATAATTTTCTGAGCAATTACATATTGGTCTGAAAGAAGTCACATGCAGTGTATACATTTATGTCAAGTATTGATTGTGGAACAAAGATAATAGGAAATTTTTTAAACTGAGAATTTAAATGATAAGAATGTTGTTTTCCTTGTTGACTTGGATAGTGGCAAGTGCGTGGGATGAATTATATTTTAAGAATTTGCAGAGAGTGTTGCAATTTTAAGGAAATAATTGCTATTCTCAGGGTCCCAGTAGCAACCTCAGATATAAAATTTTTTACACTTTTTTTTGAGACAGAGTCTCGCTTTGTTGCCCATACTGGAGTGTAGTGGCACGATCTTTCCTCACTGCAACCTCTGCCTCCAGGATTCAAGCGATTCTTCTGCTTCAGCCTCCCGAGTAGCTGGGACTGCAGGCACATGCCACTATGCCCAGCTGATTTTTGCATTTTTAGTAGGCATGGGATTTCACCATGTTGGCCAGGCTGGTCTTGAACTCCCTCCTGACTTCATGATCTGCCTGCCTCGACCTTCCAAAGTGCTGAGATTATAGGTGTGAGCCACCGCGCCTGGCCTTACACACTTTTTTTTCTTCCAGAGAGAGTGGAGAAAGAAGGAAAAAAAATGAGTTAGCTCTCAAGTTTTAGATGTTTGAAGTGGAAATAATTATTGAATGTTTTCACATTTGTTACTGGGTCATTTTAATGGCCAGGCATAAACTTAGAATCTTCAACTTTTGGCCGGGCGCGGTGGCTCACGCCTATAATCCTATCACTTTGGGAGGCCAAGGCAAGTGAATCACCTGAGGTCAGGAGTTCGAGACCATCCTGGCCAACATGGTAAAACCCCATCTCTACTAAAATTGCAAAAATTATCTGGGCATGGTTGCGTACCCCTGTAATCCAAGCTACTCGGGAGACTGAGGTGGGAGAATTGCTTGAACCTGGGAGGTGGAGACTGCCGTGAGCCAAGATCGTGCCACTGCACTCCAGCCTGGGCAACAGAGCGAGACCCTGTCTCAAAAAAAAGATAAATAAAAATTTAAAAAACTTCAACTTTTGGTTCAATTCTTCTTCGTGAATGGCTTCTTGTAGTGATTGTGCCTATAAGTACTCATATGTGAGTTCATTTGAAATTTGGAGATGTTCTGAGTATTTCAGTGAGATATTTACAGGAATTTTGGGTTGGGAAGATACGGGTAAGTTTAGAAGTGCTGTATTAGGTGTCAGCAAACTTTTTCTGTACAAAGTCAGGTAGTAAATATTTTAGGCTTTGTGTGCCATGCAGCTACTTAATCACCGCTCTCTTAGTGGGAAAGCAGCCATAGACAATATGTGAAACATTGAGCGTAACTGTGTTTCAGTATGTTTATGGATGCAGAAATTTGAATTTTATGTAATTTCACATGCCATAAAATACTCTTTTGATTTATTTTCCAACTCTTAAAAAAAGTGAAAACCATTCTTAACTCACAGGCCATACAAAAACAGGAAGCAGGCTGGGTTTGACCCCCAGGCCATAGTTTGATATCCCCTGCTGTTGTATGGCCATTCTAATTGATGCATGGATTAAAACTTTTTAAAGGTGCTGACCGAGTAAATCAGCAACCCTGACAGAAAGAAAACACCAAAATGAATTCGTTTTCATAATTATATTATTTATTCATTCATTCATTGAGAAACCTGTGGGTATGAATCAGTCAGCTGGGTGCAGTGGCTCATACCTGTAATCCCAACACTTTGGGAGGCTGAGTCAGACAGATCACTTGAGGCCAGGAGTCTGAGATCAGCCTGGACAACATGACAAAACCCTGTCTCTATTAAAAATATAAAAATTAGCTAGGCGTGGTGGTGCACACCTGTAGTCCCAGCTGCTCGGGAGGCTGAGGCACAAGAATCGCTTGAACCTGGGAGGTAGAGGTTGCAGTGAGCTGAGATTGTGCCACTACACTCCATCATGGGCGAGAGAGCAAGAGTCTGTCTCCCCTACCCCCAATCCCCCCAAAATTTGAACACAGTCTTGGTTACAAATACTTTAATTTACTTCTTTCTTCTTTTTATGAGATGGGTTCTCACCCTGTTGCTTAGGTTGGAGTGCAGTGGTACAATCATGGCTCATTGCTGCCTTGACCTCCTAGACTCAAGTGATCCTTGTACCTCAGCCTTCTAAGTAGCTAGGACTATAGATGTGCACCACCACGCCTGGCTAATTTTTTTTTTTTTTAATTTTTGTAGAGACAGGGTCTTGCTATGTTTTCCAGACTGGTCTTGAATTCCTGGGCTCATGCAATCCTCCTGCCTTGACCTCCCAAAGTGCTGAGATTACAGGCATGAGCCGTGGCACCCAGCCTTAGTTACTTATTTCTATGTAGTCTTTGCTAGGAGATTTCTGCTATTCCCATGCCATTAATTTTCTGATTGCCTCCAAATTTATATTTCCAGCTCATACTTTTTTGAATTCACATATCCAAATTGGTAATTGACTTTTGTACTTGTGTATCTTATTAGTGTTTCAAACCTAACATGTTTAAAATGGAACTCTTGATTTTCCCTCCTATGCCATATCTCTACCAATCTTCCCCCAATAAGTGGCAGAACGATTATAGCCACCACTGAATCCAAAAATTTGGCCATCCGTCTTTTCTCATTTCTTACAGCACCTAATCCTTTGGTAAATTCTATAGATTCGATCTCTAAAATGTATCTCAACCATGGCCACTTTTTAGTATTTAAATTGCAACTGCTTAATTCAGGCCATGACCATCTGTTGTCTGGAGCAATATGGTAACTTCATTGTTGTTGTCTCAGCTTCCTTTCAGTGTTTCTTCCAGTGCATTCTCCACACAGCAGTCAGAGTGATCTTTTAAAAACATAAATTGAATTATATCACTCTCTCATTAAAACATAGCTTTTTTGTTACATTTCGAATAAAATTCAGACTACTCACAATAGTTTAAAAAGTATTGTATTACCCCATTCTCACCTTTACAACATCATCTTGAGCCTTTCTTACTCTCACTTTCCATGCTGCAGCCACAGAAACCTTTTTTGAAATATTTTAATAGGCTCAAGCTCTTTACATCTTTGTCTGACAGATGCTATTCAACTGCCTGGAATGCTTTACCTCCCGTTCTTCACATGGGTGGCTCTTTTTCATAATTCAAGTCTCAGCTTAAGGTTACCTTCTCCAACAGGCTCCTGTATCTAATTTGGTCCCATTCCAGCATTCTCCATCACACCAGTATTAATAGAGGGACCATATCTGTTTCTTTCATCATCGTATATTTAATACCTGGCATAACACACCTGAAATAAATGTTTATGGGATGAATGCATGAGTAAATGACTTAAGGAAAGTATCCATTTTATTTAATCTTGCCATATGTGGTTTGATGGGAAAGATTTAATAGAAAATCTTTGGATAGTGGCATGGGAAAAGAACAATAATGACTTGATCAAATGGCAAGCATTTACCAATAATTCGCAGAGTAAAACAATGAAAGATAAAAAGAGAAAAATAATTTGTGTGTGAGTGTGTTGTAATGTTTGCATGTTAACTCTATAGAGATAACTCATCAATTTCAAAAGGATATCACATATTTGACATAAATTTCAGGATATCCATGTCTCCTGGCAGATTGTAAAGTTACAGGTAATTGCCTAATGCAGTGTTTTTTTCAAACCGTGGACCATAAACCATTAGTGGATTGAGAAGTTAATTGAGTGGGTTATAGTCAACATCATTAAACAAAAACAAAAACAAAAAAATGGAAGAAGAAAGAAATGAAAAAAGAGAAATAGAATACAATAGGAAATGCCACAGTGTATTTCATATAATAAGGGTTAATTATGTATTTATTTTCATTTAACAGATAACTAGTATGAGTCAAGAGTAAGTCTCAATACCTTTGGATTAAGACTGCACACTTAATAAGCTGGGTCCTCTCATGGTGCAGTTAAGAATAAGTTCCTTATGTTCCATACTTGTGTTAAGTTGCCCCTCCCCAGGAAGGAATATATTATTTCTTTATATATTCTCATGGTTTGTTTCCTTCACCTTTAAGTTTTTGCTCAAATGTCACATTCTCCAAGTGAGACCCACCTTCATCACCCTGTTCAAAATTGCCAAGCTCCCCAACCCCATATTCTTTATCCTCCCTTCCCTGCTTTATTTTTAGTCAAAAAATTGTCACCTTCAACATTCAGCTATACAGGGTTACTTGTTTTATTTATTCCTACTCAAATGTAAGCTCCCTAAGATCAGAGAATTTTATTTTAGGCTATTCTGTTCAATGCTGTATTCTCAGTGGCTAGAGTAGTCCTGGTACAGAGTAGGTGGCTCAATAAATATCTGTTGAATAAGTGCATTTCCTGGCTTATGATGTAAAGATGTACAATGTATTTCTTAGTGTGTATTGCTGTCAAGAAAAGTTTGAAGTATTTCAGCAAGTTTTTACCTTCCGGTTAGTAGTTTGAAATATATGTGAGTTTTCTGCAAAGAAATTTAGTGAATGAAATTTTCTACGCGTATCAAGATAGTAGGTCATATGTAGTCCAATAGTAATTTATTAATTCCAGAGAGAGAGAGCTTTAACAAAAAAGATATCTGGAGTAAAAGATATCTAGGTAACACTAGAGCCCTCATCCAAGTTACTTAACCTCTTAGGCTATATAGCTTCCCATCTATAAAATCATTGACTTGAGGTGCTCTCAGTGATCTTTTCAAGGTCTAATGATCTCTGAAAACCTATATTACCAATTTTTGCTATGATGACCCTGAAACGAAGTATATATTAGTTGCAAGGATCTACTACTTCAGTGAAAAAGTAATTGAGTCCCAACTGTGTTCTTATCTATTTGTATTGCTTCATGAGCTGAAGAGTTTGTATATTAACATTCAGGTTTATGCTAGTTTATTTTATATATGTATATGAGTGTATATACACATATATACATATATAAACACATATATGTACACACACACAGATACATATGTATATACACACATATATGTATACATATACATATATAAAATAAACTAACATAAACCTGAATGTTGTATACATATAATGTATATAGGTATACAACCATATTCCCATATATAATATATGTATATATTATATATATGGGCAATAAGATTACTTGGATTCAGTAGTTCATTTGCATTAGCCTATTTAGGAAATTATCAAAAGCTGAAAAAATCAAACTACAAAATTAACAATTTTTCAAGAATTGTAGGAAAAATCAGTAATGAGTAATCAACATTCATTTTTTGCTTTATTTTTTCTTTTTCAGACGGTCCTGAAATCGCTACACTTGCCAAAAAACAACAGTCTTTATGTCCTTACACCAGATTTGCCACCACCTTCATCATCTAGTCATTCTGGGTAAGTTGTTTATATTTCCTGGAAACCTGAAATGAAAAACTCAGTTGTTAAAATTGCTTTAAGTTGTATATTAACCTCAAAATTAAATCAAATACAAGTCTTGTTGAAACTTGACCCTACCAATTACTATGAAGTATATCAGGTTTGAAACAATTTGGTCTGGATAGTTTGTTTTAATGGTATAATCTTCTTATACCACTTTAAAATATTTAGCAGAACTCCAGTATAATTATTAAAAATTGTCAAAATGGTACTTCTTTGACTGAAGGGAAAGGATTCAAGTTGGAAGGAAGAGAAAGTATAAATGGAGTTCCAGTGTCTCTCATTGCTAAAGAAGACATACCTTTGAGGAAGATTCATTGAGCTCTGCAGAGTAAATCTTGAAAAACAGTAACATATATATATGTAGGTCTATTTTTTTTTTTTAAACGGAGTTTCACACTTGTTGCCCAGACTGAGGTGTAATGGTGCGATCTTAGCTCACCACAACCTCTGCCTCCCGAGTTCAAGCGATTCTCCTTCCTCAGCCTCCCGAGTAGCTGGGATTACAGGCATGTGCCACCACGCCCGGCTAATTTTGTATTTTTGGTAGAGATGGGGTTTCTCCATGTTGGTTGGGCTGGTCTTGAACTCCCGACCTCAGGTGATCCGCCCACCTCGGCCTCCCAAAGTGCTGGGATTACAGGCATGAGCCACTGTGACTGGCGATATAAATTTTTTATTAAGGTTTTCTCTCTATTTGGAATAAAGGATCTCATTGTTTTTTCAGTTTTCACAGTGGAACTGAATACATTTATACAATGATCACATGATTTTAATTTTTAATTATACATTATGTTTTTAATTGTTTAATGAAGCAAACTGACCTGTAGTGGATGATTATGCTAGTGATAAGATAATAATTTTTATGAGGAATCTTTTCATACAGTATTATTCCAGAACTATGTTTAAGTTATTTTTAGGTTTTCTGTTGTTGATACAAATTTTTCTCTTTTAAATACAACAACTTGGTGTTTTTTTGTGGTAGGGAGACCTGTGTCCCTAAATTTTGAATATTGTCAAGCTTTCCCCCCACCACTTAGCAAATATCTTGATTTTTAGGTAGAGAGTAGCAAAAATAAAATTAAATTTGGCTTTACTGAAGTAAAAATCACTGAACTGAAAAGTTAAATCTTGTGTAGTTGTATTTGCTGGTCTATTAATAGTTTGTTTTGGGTTAAGAATTTAAAGAGTTCTTGGATTGCTCTTTATCTTCTATGTTTAGACCATATGTTAACGGAAAGTGGAATTTGCACACAGTTACAAAATCACAAACTACAAACTTTTAGTCCATGTGTTTATAATAATGTTGATGTAAACCTCAGATGAGATTAAGTTAAAGAGTTATAGGTGTGGTTCTGTATCTAGTCAGGTAGAACATTATTTTATAGGTTAGCTAACAAAGTGTAATCACTGTCATAAAATATGTAATCCACATAATTAAAAGCAGTCAGGAGATATCATTGTTTATAATCTATTGCTTTCCAGTAGCATGATTAAATGGATTTATCAAAATGTCTTCCTGGGCTAATGGAAATGTTCTTCATTGCCGTGTAGTTGACCTTAGTTTGATTGCCAGTCACTCACTCCCTAGGCAAGCAGGAGTCTACAGTGCTGCTGAAATGCAGCGTTTATTGGAGAATGAGTACTTTAGCATTAAAGTATCCTTCTCTAGTTGGCTTTGTGGATTTTTACCAAGTTAGAATGATTCTTTTCTTGTATTGGAAAAATAAGAAAGAGAGAAAAATTCAAAGGTGAACAAAAAACGTAGTGGGAGGAGGGACAAATGGAGACTCCTGCTAATGTAAAAGTCATGTTAATGTACTTTTGATTAAAACATAACTTAAAAGCCAGAGTTTACATCTTGTAGTATGTTTATTCAATTATATCTTTCTGTAACACTAGAGATTTTTAAAATAACATACATCTTGGAAGCTGACTTCATGGGAGACAGTTTAAAAAACAAAACAAAATCCATGCAGAACCTTAAAAGCTGATGGTAATAATTATTTTTAAGTTATGAGTTTTATTTCGTGACTCATCAAATAAAAATATTTTGACCTTTTTTTTTCTTTTTTTGGAGACAGAGTTTCGCTCTTGTTGCCTACGCTGAAGTACAATGGCATGACTCAGCTCACTGCAACCTCTGCCTCCTGGGTTCAAGCGATTCTCCTTTCTCAGCCTCCTGAGTAGCTGGGATTACAGGTGCCCACCAGTACGCCTGGCTAATTTTTGCTATTTTTAGTAGAGATGGGGTTTCACCATGTTGGGCAGGCTGGTCTCAAACCCCTACCTCAGGTGATCCTCCCGCCTTGGCCTCCCAAAGTGCTGGGATTACAGGCGTGAGCCACTGTGCCCGGCCACTTGACATCTTAACTATATAGTAGAATCAAACAATATCCTAGTAAGTTATATAGCATATCATATTATCAAAAATGGTAGACAGATAAACTTGCTTTATACTAGACTTCATAATGAATTAAACTGATTTGCTTTTGCAGAATTTTGTTATAATTGATGGATTCTTAGAAACTGATTTGTAATTTGTAACCTAATTTATAATCTAAAAAGGAGAAAAAAGGTAATTATGGTTCTAAGTGTTATATTTGGAAATTGGCAAATGAATATAGCAACTCTGTAATTGGTAGAGTAAAATGGGAAGGTTTATGTATATATTCTTACATTTGCATGTATTATCTCACTTATAATTCTTAAGAATTTGCATGAAATTTCAGTGTGTGAATTCACTCTTAGTTACAGTATATTATTAATCCTTTAACATAATGTAGATATAAAATAACATGTTGGCCGGGCACGGTGGCTCATGCCTGTAACCCCAGCACTTTGGGACGCTGAGGTGGGAGGATCACTTGACTGTAGGAGTTTGAGACCAGCCTGGAGAACATAGCGAGACTGTATCGCTACAAACAATTTTTATGAAATAGACGGGTGTTGTGGCACACACCTATAGTCCTAGCTACTCAGGAGGCTGAGGCAGGAGAATTGCTTGAGCCCGAGAGTTCGAGGTTACAGTGAGCTGTGATCATGCCACTGTATTTCAGCCTGGGCAGCAGAGCAAGACCCTGTCTCAAAATAAATAAAATAAAATAGTTATTAAATTGTTCACTGACAAAACATCCCACTCTTAAGTTTTGTTAAAGAAGTATAGATACGAGAGGGGGCATGGGGGGTTCGGAAAGAGCTTGGAGGAATAGATTGCAAATGGGCACAGGGAAACTTTTGGAAGTGATGAATATGTTCATTATCTTGGTTTTGGTGATTGTTTCATAGGTGCATGCACATAAATATTACCATATATGCTGTTCCTTACATATTCACTGTATTTCAATAAAGCTGTTTTTTGTTAAAAAAAAAAAAAAAAAAAGAAGTATAGATACAGAAAACTGTATCTCAAACAATGTCCTATTAAAAAACAAAACAAAAAAACTTCGTAACTTGATTTTACTGCCACTAGGGGGTGCCTGGTAATTTAGTCTTGTATTAACATGTAATTTCTTTCTAGGGGAAGAAATGGTATAAACCAAGAGCAGCAAAATTACCATATGAGTGCCTATACTTGTAAACTGAATGTTTGTAAACTAAATTATGTGTTTCAGAAAACAGAATTTCAAGCTTTCTGAGAATTGAAGAGCAAACTCTTAATCATAATCTTTATAACAGCTGAAAAGCATTTTAAGCCCTTTTCAAAAAGAAATCAGATTTCACTAATTAATTGAAAGGGTGAAGCAGTACTCCAGTGGCCTCTATGATACAACAGTAAATTATATTATAAATCACAGTAAAATTAGAAAGGAGAAAACAAACTATTAATTATACTGTTTCACATTATTATAGGAAAGATTCAGTCCATCAAAGACTTATTGATTACTTACTAAATAAAAACAAGCTGTGTCCTCAAGTAGCCTGTAACCTATTTATTAAGATGATTAGGCCTTTTCTTAAGTTATTCCTGTATAGAAAATTTTCTTAGATACCAACTTATTCCTGGTGTTCTTTCTGATTGTTTCATCCACTTTCCTTCTTAAACTCTTCATTTCTTCACCTGCTCTAAATGTTGGTATTCTGGAGAGTTTTCTTCTCAGCAATCTTTCTTTTGTACCTTCTCTCTGATATCTACTCTCAACTCTTCAATTTCTAAATATGTATAGATAACTTACAGATCTCTATTTAGCAACTCATATGTCCCAGTTGCCTGTGGAGTTTTTCATTTGTGTGTGTCCTGTCTGTAATTCAAAGTCATATGTCTCTGTATTACTACCTGTGTTTTTCATTTCAAATGTCCAACAGTATAAAATACTGGAGTGTATTCTAACCAAGATGCTGATTATTAAAAAAGTCATTGGGTTGGGAATATAAGTAATTAATGACTTCGTTAAAATCATTTTTGGTAGAATGGTGAGAATGAGAACCCGATTATAGTAGATTTTAATGGATAAACAAGAAATGAAGAAATGATTACTGTTATTTTCAGAAAACTTGACAGTGAAGGGAAGGAGAAGTTGAGGGAGAAGTCAAGGGAAGATGGTAGACAAGTATTGGAAGCACAAAGAGTAAGAGACAGCAAGTAGGAAAAATTTAAATGAGTGAAACAAAAATAGAAAATGTGGCCAAAGACTGGGTGCAGTGGCTCACACCTGTAATCCCAACAGTTTGAGAGGCTGAGGTGGGTGGATTGCTTGAGGTGAAGAGTTTGAGACAGGACTGGCCAATATGGTGAAGCCCCATCTGTACTAAAAGTACAAAAATTAGCTGGGTGTGGTGGTGCATGCCTGTAACCCCAGCTACTCGGGAGGCTGAGGCGGGAGAATTGCTTGATTGCTTGAACCCTGGAGGTGGAAGTTGCAGTGAGTTGAGATCGCACCACTGCACTCCAGCCTGGGCAGCAGAGCGGGTATGGAACTGTTTTAGTTTGCTAGGGCTGCTATAACGAAGTACTATAG